GGAAACGATGAGGGCCTATCTTGGTGGTGCTGGAAAGGAAGCAACAGATTCAAGACTGGCAGAATTGGCAATGGATTGGGTGTGGAATTAAAAGGATAGGAGCTGAGGCTGTCCTGAGGTTTCTAGCCTAGACCCCCAGGAGAAGAGTAACGCACTTACTGCATTAGGAGCACAAAGGAGAAGGGACTGTTGGGCAAGGAAAACAAAGGCCACAGAATGCCACTTCCCCTACTTCCCTGTCTGACCTAGGTTAGGAGATAGATACTACCCAAGGATACTGTCTGGATATGTGCTTTGGTTTCTTGAGTTTTCTCCTTGAGGAGTGGAATCTGGATCGTTCAGACTCACGCTTACATTTCTACCTGACCAGTCTTGTCCTATTTCTAGGGTTGGTTAACTAGACCTTGGCTGCTTAGCACAGGCTGAGTGTGTCTGTGCTTTTTACAGGGGATACTTCTTCCCTGCTCCCTCACCCTGAGCAGAAGCTGCCCACAGGTCAGCGAACTGGTGCCCTCTCCCAGTCCAAACACTTGGTACCAAAATTATGCGTTGCTTCGCGTTTGGACCCTATGTGTGAGAGCCATGGTTGTCCCATTCCTGACCAGGGTAATCTCAGCCTCCCACCCGCTTCTTCCCCTTCCTCCCTCCAACACTGCCATCTTCCTGGGCCCTAGTCCTGGCTCAGTGCCCCTCTCACACACTGCCCTGGCTTGCTGACCCAGGTAGGTGAACAGGCTGTAGATCCATGGAAAATTTCCTGTTGGAGATCAGGACACTGAAAATATCACATCTGTCAGAGAAAGCCAGGAGCACTCAGCTCAGCTTCCCCACCTGTGGTGACTCTTCAGAGTAGCCCTGAAACTATTACCCATGGAGCATTCCTTCCAGGGTGACATCTCCCTGTATTCACTTATGGCTATGGCCTCACCTTCAACTATAGTTACTTGGATTCTTGCATACAGTTATATACTCAAATATGGGTGTGTATGCGCCCACCCACAACACGGACAGTTTTCAGTTTTTTAAGTAAGAAAGCTAGGTGATAAAAAAACAGTCTGCCAGGAATGTCTTTCAGAACACAATAATGCAACTTCCGGAGGTCAGTAAGGAGCTGGTACAAGTGTTATACATGTTCTTATACCTTCTGGAGATATAAGACTGTGATTAGTGGTAGAGGTGGCAACGGTGAGGACTGTAGGCATAGAAATATCTTCAGTCAACAGTCCTTCACCAAGCACTGACCCAGAAGCTTCTAGGGACTCAGAAGTGAGGCAGGTATATCTTTGCTCCCTAGCAACATGCAGCCCTTTGGAGAGAGAGAGTTCCACACATATGAAGAAGTAATGGTGACAAAAGAACTGACACAAAGCCATGCACACATGGAGAGATGGAAGATTTGGTATTGGTCTCTGTTCCTCCACTTGGCTTTAGCACATGACCATTTGCCCTTACTAAGTGATTCACCTGGTTCTTTGCCCTGGTTTCACTGGTGTTAGGACAATGGGAATCTACTCACTGAGACATTTGTAGGATATCCCTTCCTGTGACATGTATAGGAACAGGACCAAGAACTCTGTAAAACTATTCCATCCCAGGTATTCCTTTAAATTATTTTATAAAGGTCTTGGCTAGCTAGACTAGAGGGCTGCACACAGGAGCCTGAATGAGCTGGTTATATATTCCTGGCTTGAGATATAGTTCATAGTTAGAGCAGCAGGAACTACATGAGTTTTAATCCCTTCCAATCCTGCATCTGTTAATTTTATGAAAAACCTATCTTAACAAAATGTCTCCACTATTTGATTTGGAATTTTTAGTACACATTTCTCTGTGTGCATTTATAGTAGCATTTCCCATATTGTGTTGTATAGAATACTACTGTGAGACATTCAGAGGTTTTATGGGAAAAGTAGTGTTTCCATGATCAGTGTGTTTAGAAGGTTTGGGGTTAAACAAAGTTAGCTGAACTGTTCACAGCAGGACTTCTTTCAACCTTTAATGGCCCAGGGTTTGCTATGTATTTTGAAAAGGCAAATATAGTGTACAATGATTCCTAACCTGATTTCTCATTTTACTTCACATGGACTCTTATTTTCAAGAAATGTCTAATATCCTTAGCAAGCAGAAGTTCTGAGGAACACACATTGAGAAATACTGTCTTGGGAGGTTTTCACCGTATATAGACTGGTGGTGTTTAGCCATTTTCCATGTTTTTGTTTTGTTTTGAAAATACCTTTCAATAGCAGCAGGCCCAGCTAAGTTTAGATGTAAAGAAGAGTTTCCTAACTGTAAGGATGCTTGGAGGGTAGAACCCTAGAGTATCCCAGGAAATCGCAATAAAAGAACATGCCAATCGCTTTCTTGTTCTTCTGCAAGATTTCCCATGAGTCATTATAAATAGAATGAATCATCAAGGAGTTCCTGAATCTTTTTATCTTAAGATGCCTTTGAAAATGGGAAACAGGATATAGTTGAGGGATAAGAAGATAGGAATTAAAAGGCAGGATGGCAGACTGTCTAACTTCTGGATAGAATGTCTCTTAGTGTCTGCAGTTAGCTCATTCTTTCTTATTCTGCCCAGAATGTGCATTTAAAGAACCTAACTTTGTTCTCTATGCCATGTGGAGCTAAAGGAGAGGGCTAGATGCTGCCCAAGATCTCATGCAAGTGTTTCAGTATCTATCATACACTGAGCACTTGTTATATGCCACATATAGGCTAAATCTTTTATAAGTTTTGCTTGTTCCTTGAAACAACCTAGGAGGTTGCTAGTATTATTGCTCTTATTTTACACAGTGTGGATCTGAAGCCAGAAATGCTAAAGACCTTACTCAAAGTCATACATCCAGGTTGACTGTGAGCCTGGATTTAATGCAGAAGCCCTTATCCACTGTATCCCCCTACTGCTATTGTTAAGTCTGTGGACATCTAAAACATCATGCTTCTTTGAAATGAGCCCCCACCCATTAGGCTGTGCATGTGGGGAGAGTGCAGTGGTGGGGCCTTGTGTTTGCCCATATTGATAGGAAGCCAGGGGAAGAAGACATTTTCCAGCCCTCACTGACTGTGGCCAGTGAGGCCCTTGGTTTCCCAACAGCAGCATGGCTCTGTGTCTTGTCTCCTCCCTTTGCCAAATGCATCTCTTCTCATTAGCCATCTGCCCCTTGTACCTGCTGATAGCCCACAGTGCATGAGCAGCTGCCCTGTGAAGAGGACAGAACATAAAATTAGCTTATGAATCAGTACATTCTCTGCACATCCATTTCCCTCTAATGGGGGTGGGGAGGATCCCAAATATACTTAATCCCCATCCAGCTCCGCTCTGTCAAGGAGTTGATGGCTCCAGAGGAGTCTTTGCTGCTCCAGTCCACAAGCTGAAGCTAATGAGTTTGGGCTCTGGGCAGGTGGGCTGAGGCTGTAGCCCGGTGTCTTGGCAAAGACTGTAGATGGTAAGGGAGGAACCGTGGGCTAGAGAAGCTATGTCTTCAGAAAGGGAGACCGCCTGAAGGAAAGCTGTGTTTCCACCTGGCCAGAAAGTAAGTCCAAGGTACTTGCCATCTGTCATGCCAGGCTGAGTGGCTGATGGGTTAGTCCTAGAACCTGTAACCTCTCTGTGCCCTTGCCATGCAAAACTATGTGGGAGCATATAGAATGAGTGTGTGATGAATGCCACTTCAGTCTGAGAAGATGGCCTGACCCACATTTGAAGGCGTTTTTCCAGGAGTGGAGATCAGCAAGCTGTACAATCCGTACATACCCTCTCGCCTAGTTTCCCTGTTTAAGGCCAGTGGAGACGGTGGAGGTGCCAGGCTCTCAGCTCAGAGAACTCTGCTTTCAGTAATGCTTGCCTGCAGGCTCACACATGACCAGGTGATTGGATGAGGACCATGAGTTGCCTGGAGAATGCCCTTGAGCTTTTAAATGTTACTGTCCCATATGGGGCACCTCTGATTGCCTCACCTAATGCAGCCCCCACCCCCTCAACTATCTGAAATGGTAATCGATTTGTTTCCTTAACTGTTTTTTCCAGTAGCTTTCAAGGTCCTTGAGAGCACCAAGTACATCTCTTATTCATGTCTGATGTGCCTAAAACAGTGTCAAGCACACGAGAAGCAAGTGTGTGCCCAGTGAATGAAAAAATAGTGACACATGAAGGCATAACTACGCCTACAGATTCGTAGGTTGAGATTCTTAGAAAATGAACTTGTTTTACACTCTTCTAATAGTTCCCTTGTATCCATCACCTACAGAACAAAATGCGAGCTCCCTAGCCTGGCATCCAGGCACTTAGACTTTGGCCCTGCAAACCCCTCCAGCTTCGTGTGTCAGCATTCCTCCCCCAAGCTCTGTGCATCCCATGTGCTCAGCCAAGGGCTCCCACACATGGCCATGTATAAGATGAATGCTGCCGAAATGCTTCCTCCTGGACCTCAGCTGCAGCCGTGCAGATTCAGCTGGGGGTAGGTGGGGGAGTGCAAAAAGATGCTCAGGTGATTCTGATGGTGGAATCACACTTTGAGGAGCTATGCTATTGTTGAAGTGCACGCTAGGCACCTCACTGAAAGGACCACACACGTTCTCACCTCTGTTAGTTTGTCTAAATGATGACTCCTGGCTGGAAGAACCTAGGTGCAGTCACATTTTCTACCTAGAAGAGGCCTACGCATACTTAAGGCCTCAGCTCCAGGCATATCTTTTGCGACTATGGTCTTCCTTGTACCAGAGACACATATGCAAGTTTCTCTATATGTATAGTACATTTTGTATATACCTTGCTTAGAGATTATTTTATTTACTTCTGTTTATCCTATGAACTATAACACTGTAAGCTCCCAGAAGAACCACTCTTGGTAATCCCCAGGCCCTTAGCCCCCAGCAGAGCTCTTGATGTTTATTGGACTAGATAGAGCAAGGGAACTGGAGGTGCTCCAGCATAGCCCACCTCTTCCTCCCTCCCTTCCTAACTTTGTTCTCTGTTTCTGACTGCTGGGTCTTTTTAGGAGTTCTCACTCCAGAGAATGGACAGCCTTGTGGATGATCGTGTCAACATCCTAGGATTTTCCATTTTCAACCAATCCCATGCTTTTTTCCAAGACTTTGCCCAGAGCCTCAACCAGTCCTGGCAAGAGAACTGTGACCACGTGCCCTTTACTGGGCCTGCGGTAAGTGTCCCCCGGAGCTCCTTCCTGGTGTCCTGGGACTCCACACACTATACTGTAGACTGACTGCTGGGCAACAAGCCCTCCTGGAGTCCAGCCTTCTCCCTTCTCCAGTCTCAGCTCACATGTAGATGTGTTAGGAAGTGAGTACAGGGATGAGGTACAGGGGTAGTGAGCTCAGAACACCAAGTGGGTTGAGACGGCTGAGGGATAGGGTGATATGCAGGTTCTGAGTTGTCATTTACTGTTGTCTACAAGTCTCCTGCGGTCAGATTCCCCATGGTGCTGTTGCTGAGAGCTCCTGCTCTAGTACTTTTTCCACCCCACTGAGCCACTGCTCCGAGTAGCTCATCCAGAGAAGCTTCTTCTGTGACCCCTCCATGTCTTTGTCACTCAGTCTTTCCCCATGCTGTGCAGAGTAGACCTCCCTGGTCATTCTTTATTGCACTGGCCATTCTTATGCTGTTGGGCAGGTCAAGTATACCTGCTACATCCATTTCTTAAATGGCAGGTTCCTGGGATCTCAGAATTGCATGGCTTTCTCAGCCTCGTCCTAGGCAGGTTCTATATGTCATTTTATTTAAAAGAAAACAACAGCAGCCCATGTGCACCTTACCAAGGCTTTCTAAGATAAATGCTATGTGTCAGTATCTGCATTATGCATATGATCAAACTGAGGCTCATAAAGGTTGAGTAGCCCAAGTTCACACAACTAGACCTAGACCTGGAACTTAGGCTTTCTTGTATGGCTTTACAGTTTGTACTTTTAACCACTGTACCATTTTGTCCCTCTCTAGGACCACTATTTTCCTCCCACACTGAGCTATTATTAGGCCTAAGAAAATTAAAGTACTTAATAAATATTTGTTGAATGAATGAATAAGTCAGATAGAATGAGCTAGTGAGATATGGAAAGAATTAGTCTCAGAGATAGCAGTGGAATTGGGTACCCTCCTGGAGAGGGAAGTTCTCTGGTGGACTTATAAAATAGGAGCCATACCTGTCTTTGATATGACATGCCCAGAGGCAAAGTCGTATCTAGAAATCTGCACACATGAGTACTTAATTAGCAGTTGGCAACATGGTGATCCAGAGTGGGCCTGCTGAGGGCAAGGCATGGAGATAGTGACCTTTTATATACCTCTGAGCCTTTATAATTGCATAGCCTGGTGGAAATTTTAGGAAAGAATGGTGATCAAGGGTTTAGAGCTGTCAAAAAACTCAGGAAGCTCTGGTCCAGGAAAACAAACAAAAAAAGAGGATTTGAGAGGAAGGTTTATGGAGTGCATCCCAGCAAGCTCTTCTAGACCTGAAAGAGTTAAGAATTCATAGGATTCAGGGGTAAGAGGGGGTTATCTTACCCCCTTAAGAAGGAGATTCTCACCACATTAGGTGGTTTAAGGGACAGTGAGAGACACCCTTAAGCACAATGTCCTGTACAAGATTAGAGTCATCCACCAGCAGGAATTTGAGCCCTATTCCACCAGTAGAGTCTAGTTCTTATAACAGTCACTCCAGTACTCTAATGAGACACTGATGAAGTTGAAAGGCTCACAGCACTGTGTCAAGAAAGGGAAAAATATGCCTCTGTCTCTCCAGGCCAAGATTTACATTTGGCATTTGGCTTAGTAAAAGTAAAGGTTTCCATGTTATAGTTCCACTTTCTCTCAAAGGATGTCAGGCTTGCCATTAATGCTCACACTGGCCATAAACAGGCAGACAGGAATCACTAGTGGGATCCTTTATAAGGACCCAACACAGAGGCCAGGCAGAGCCTCTCACAGAACTGCAGGGCGAGCTCTAGATGAGGTCACACCTGCCCAAAAGACCACTGGACTCAAACATCGACCTCACCATTTTCATGCTATGTGATCTTAAATAGTTATCTAACCCCTCTGGGCCTTGTACCCTTTATCTATAATATTAAGCTAATTATGCTTTACTATCTTAGAAGATCATTGAATAAGTTTTTCTAACAATCTATATGCTGGGATAAACCTCAGCATCAGATAGTTTTGCTGTATTGATACTGTGCAACAACCAACCACAAAAGCTCATACGCAAGCAGCAATGCACATTTAGATGGCTTCTGCATCTGAGGGTCCATTGTGCATCAGCTCGTTTAAGCTCACTGAGCTGGGCAGTTCTGCTGACCCAGCCATGGTCATGCAACAGATCTGGGTTGGCTGATGTAGATTGGTCCTGTTGTGGTAGCTCTGCTCCATGTGCCTCTCCTGCTTCCCCTGGACTCGCAGGCCAGCCTGGCATGTCCTCGTGGTGATGGAAGAAGGGCAGTAATGCAACTGGAAACACACAAACCCCTGTGTTAATGAGCTTTCATTGCTATGACCAAATTCCTGAGAAAATAACTTAGAGGAAGAAAGATTTATTTTGACTCACAGTTTGAGAGGTTTCAGTCCATCACTAACAAGCCTCATTGCTTCTAGGCCTGTGAAAGGCAGAACATGGTGGCAGAAGTTCATAGCAAAGGAAAGCTGCTCACTTTATGATGGACAGGAAGCCAAGAGAGCAAGAGAACCCTGGAGGAAGGAGCCAAGAACAGGATATAGTCCCAAGGCCATGTGACCATGAATTACTCCTGTCAACTAGGCTCCGCCTCCTAAGTTTCTATCATCTTCCAACAATGCCATCAAATTATAATCTCAGCATTGTATTCATCAGCTGTTGAAGATAGATGGCCCATGATCCAGTCAGCTTCCAGAAGCCTCCACTCTGAACACATGAGACCTTTGGGGGACATTTTAGATCTAAACCATAACCTCTGAGACCTAAGTCCCCAGAATGGGCATAGCATGGCATCTTCCAGTTCATTTTGTTTGGCAAAAAAAAAGGCATACAAAGCTGGAGAAGGAGAAAATGTAGTCTGCCCTCTCAGAGGGCAAAAGGAATTCAGAGTCACATGATGAAGAGCTTGAATCCCTGAGTGCAGGGTGAGCTGATGCACTGGGGCCCATTACTCAGTCTGTGAGGTGAGAAAGGACCACAGTCACTGTCCAAGGTGTATGCAGGAAGCAAATTTATCTTCCCACAGAGGAAAATAGCTCCAGAATTGTACTATTCCTGCAGAAACAGAGGGAAAGCTCTCTGCCTACAGGATCAGAGAAGGCCTTCCAGAAGGTGGGGAAGGAAATATAGTCATGGGCTACATAATAAAGTTTTGGTGAGCCACAGACCACACATCCAACAGTGGTCCCTTAAGATCACACTGCCTAATGACTTTGTAGCTGTCTTAGTGTGTGTAAGGGATACCGTGATGTTCGCACAAGGGCAAAATTGACTAGTGACACACTTCTCAGAATGTGTCTCTGACATTAAGAGATGCATGACTGTGACTTGCTGCTCATTTTCTGCCTATAAAACCCTGGCAGTGTCCACAGTCTCCTGGGAGGAGCAGGGCTCTGGGCTGCCTCACTCTACCAACCTGGAGAGGCTGTCCTGTCCCATAGAAGTTGCCTGGAGCAGTTTAAAAATAAAAAGCTTAACCTGGCCGCTCACCCTCCCAATCCTGGTCCTGTCTTGGACTTCCCAATGCTTTTCAGACGCCCCTGGGGAGGGCTTTGGGCAGCCAGAAGTGTTCTGTGAAGGCTGTCTCCCTTCTGGGTGTGAGAAGTTACCATTACTGAGCCCCAGACCTAAAACGGATCTCTGTATGTGGCCAAAGGCTCTGGTCCCACTTCAGTCGGACCTCACAACCCAGCTCCTTTATTTTATTTTTATTTATTTATTTATTTGTTTGTTCGTTTATTTTTTACTTCTAAAATGAATGTGTGTCCTTTCTTGCTCTGGAGACTGGGATGCTGCTCGTGTCTGTCCACCCAGAACTGAAGACCACTGTATCACTGCTCATGAGTTACCCTGCCGCTGCCTCTTCTTCCTCGTCATATCATCCCAGTAACAATTAAGGGTGGTTCTGCAGCCCTCTTTGACACATGAGGAAACTGAAGTACAGAAGAGCTGGGTGGCACAGTGGGGTCTCCCAAGGTCCTCACTTTACCACAGCCTGGTGTAGAGCTTGAGTCTGCCCCTGCTGCAGGGATTTTCCAGCTGTCATCTCTGTGATGGTCTTTGAGAGGGAAGGGAGGTGTTATCACTGCTGTCACCTCTAAGTGCTAGAAGGGAACCTCGGAGCAGTGACAGTAGCAGCACACCTCTCTCAAGGCTTCTCACTTTAGCAGCTTACCTTTTGAAAACCTGCCTCTTCCTGTCTTTCTGGGGACTGAGAAACTCCTGGCACAAATCACCCAGCTCTTTCATGACCATGACAGGGAGCTGGAAGCTGAGTGAGTCCGTTCCAGGAAAACTCAGCCCAGTTTTGCTCCCAGTGGAGCCCTCTAAGAAGTCTAAGCCCAGCTCCTGCCTCAGTGGAGGCAGTCTCTTTCCTTCTCCTTCCCTTTTTGCCTTTTTCTTCTCTTCCCCTTTCTGTCCATCTTGGGCTCATTCCCTTGCTTTGTTTCCCCCACATCCTCCCTTTGCTCTTTGCTCTTCCCTTTCCCTTCTCCATATGAGCCCGTTTCTATTTCTCTCTCCTCTCCCCTTCATGCTTCCCACCCTTTCTCCACACCTGGCATTTCTTCCTTCTGGCTGGTGGATGAGTCTCTCTCATTGCTCCACCTTCCCAGGATTCCAGGTGGAGCTGTCAGGACAGGGATTCAGTTCGGAGGACAAGAAAAGAGTGGCCGTATGGGAAACTAACCAGGAAGAAAGTTCAGTGCACCCAAGCAGGCGGGACTTGCCAGGTGGCCAACAGCAGGCTGCAGATGCACTGCCTGCCCAAGACAGTGCAAGTAGAGGAGGGAGTGTTGGGAACAGAGACTCACCCACCAGTTTCATATGTCATTCCCATTAATCACACTGCAAAGAATGAAAATCCTTGGAAATCATTAAAATTACAGATGGTTAGATTAAGTAATTAGAATTTCGGGTAAAGCAGATGTTTGTAATTAAGTGTTTATTTCATTGAATAAAATCCAGATTGTAAGAACTATTGCATGAGATTTCTATGGTTCCTGCTCCAGTATATCAAGGGGCAGAGTTTATGCTAACAGAGGTTCAGCAACAAATGTGCGTCCAGGAGGATCCTGGGAACCCAATCACTGGGAGTCAGGGAGAGACAGTGGTTACAGGTGTGTGTCTAGAAGATGTTGTTATTTTCATTTCATGGGAGGGGGAGGGAATCCACCCACAACTGCCTGAGTCGGAATTGATTCATCTTAATTTATACTGAGTCTTTCATTCCCCGAAACAATTTGCAAACAGCTCAAAAGAAAATAACAATGAGGAACCAAATGAAAATATAAAAACAAGAGAATTGAGAGTTCCTTGCCAAACAACATTTTGGTGCCAAGATAGAGGAGAGAATTTTAAATGAGGATTGAGCCAGTTGGGGGATTTAATATTTAGAAGAGACAGGGACGGGAGGAGCAGAGACACAACCGAGAGGCACAGGCACACAGATGGGGAACAGAAGCCTTGGAAAGATGGGGGGGAAGGCAGGCAGGGGAAGGGAAGGGGAGGGAAAGGAAGAGAATAGCAAGGCCTTGCTCCCACTTCCCAAGTGGGCACGGAAGTGGAGACAGGGATGCAGGGCTTTTGAAACAGACACTGCTTTCCCCTGATTGCAGTCCCAAATGCTTTCCAGAGCTAAATTAGTAAATAATAGCAGAGGGAGAATGCAATTAGGAGAGCAAAGAGATGCTTCAGAATGGAGATCTGGAATGAGGGGAAACTGATGAGGCAGAGCGGTTGCAGACTCCACATCCTGGGAGGTGAAGTTGGGTGAGGGGAGGGGATGGGCGACTGGGGCGGGTGAGCTGGGGGAACAAAGGAGAGGGAAAGAAGCTTCTTAGGGAAGTAGGGTGAGGACCCAGGTGAAAGCCTGAGTGGATGCACAGCCAGGCATCTGCAAGAGAGGTGGCCTGGTGATGGAGGGAGCACTTCGAGGAAGTGCGGGGGAAGGGGGGTAAGGATACCCAGGTCTTCTGAGGTGTCTGCTTGGATCAGCCTAGGCTGGACTGGAGAAGACTTGTGAAGCACAGAGCCTTCTGGGGACATGTCACTCATGCCACCCGAATGGAGTGTGGCTGTACATACAGGAAGATGAGATGGGAGCCTTGATGATTTTCCTTTCACCTGCTCCCTGGCCCCAATGGCCCCACCTAGACTTGTAATTATTAGAAGCCCTCAAAGCATGTTGAAGGCCCCAGAGTTACTTATGCTAAAGGACACCTGAGACAGGCACACACTCATCTCTCAGCATCCATCCGGGTCATGTGCTAATAAGAACATCAGCCAAGAAAACTACGTCCCAGACAGAGAGGAAATGGTGACTGCCATGTGTCAGGATCAAATTGGGGTTTGGTGGGAGTGTGAGAAATGTGGTGGCAAGCTTCCTCTGAAGTGTGCAGTGGTGGAAGTCTCTCAGAGACTTGCACAGCCTCCAGGGGACCAAGAGGCCTTGAGAGGGAAAGTGGCCCAAGCCACTCTGGACTTGATCCAACAGTTCCCTGGGAGCCAGGGGATTCTGAGGGCTTCCATGCCAGTTAGGGTGTTCTCAGCTTCCAGTAACAGAATTCCTAATTAAGATGTCTTGTGCAGAAAAGGCAGTGTACTGGCACAGCGAGACTCCAGAGTGATGTGATTGGACGTTCTTTCCATCTCTGCCTGGTCACCCTCCATGCTCTGGCTTGATCCAGGAATGCTGCAGCAGTTCTAAGCATCATGTCCAGGCATAGAAATGTCCAGAGAAAGAAAAACAACTGTCTATGAGAAGCTCTCAAGAAGCAGATCCTTCACTCCAGATCTCAATTCACGTCTCCTCAGTCAAAACCAAGTCACTTGTCCTGAATCACATATTGGCAGGGAATGAGATGACATGAACCACTCAGCCTCATCTGGTGCCTGGGGCTGGGTCAGCCTCCTATGAAGCCCCTGGTAGTGTAGGGGAGAGGAGGACACCTAACTTAACCTAAGCAGGAGGAAGAAGGGGAGAATGGGTGCTAGGTAAGCAACTTGGTGGCTAATGGTTCTTAATTGAGCTCATGTGAGGACAGAAACCGGGGAGGCAAGGAGGCAAAGTTGGTAATGACTCAAAGCTAGGGCACTAGTGGTGCCTGCCCGCCAGCCCTTCCTGATCGCAGCCCTGGCTCAAGTGTCCCATGTGCCCATTTACTGTTGAGAAGGTGACCATGTAAAAGATTGCCCCAAATTGTCCTGAGAGACTGGGTACAAAAATGAATCTGATCACCTGGGCCTCTCAAGAGGAGCCCTATTGTTCAGTGAGGTCGAAAGACAGTCTGCAAAAGGCAGGAGGAAACTAGACTCAGCAAAAATGTGCTGAGGGCCAGTTTTGCCCGTGTGCTTTTTGCATGTGACCTCGGGCAAGAATAAAATGTCTAGAGCCTCAGTTTTTTCGTTTGTAACATGAGTCGGACTAATTAATTTCTGTGATTACTAGCTGCTCAAACTCTTGTCTTGTGGGCTCCTGGAATGGAGAGATTAACTGGGAGGCAAGGAAGAAGGGGGAAGGAAATTGGTTTACAGTATCATTTCAATGGCCAAACTGAAGGATCTAAAAGCCATTAGCAATCAGGATAACTAGCTCCCCCTCAGGTAGGTGTTCAAGCTGGAGAGAGCGTCTACCATTCATCCTTTCCCTATGTCCTTTGGGCAAGGAAATAGAAGCCATTAATAATGTAGCCCCATGTGCTCAGGGGAAAATGAATTACATACAAAGGACAAGGACAGTGTAAGTTTGTGGAGTGTAAGCATCAGGTGCCATGCAGGTGAGCCTCAAATCAAATGGAGCAGGAGCTAAGCGTCCAAGGGGAAGGGCAGTGGGTGGAGGAAACTGCGGAAGGTGATGGATGAAACAAACTCAGAGGAGTGTAGCTGCACAGAGGTCACCACGACCCCACTCACAGAATTTGGGTGCCCTTACCTGCTTAGGTAGATTCACAACCAGGAGACAGAGAGGAGAGCAGACCAGGTTGGGAGGGCCGGAGACTTGATGGAGGTAGAGGGAACTCTGAGACCTCCTAGGATGTGTCTGTAGAGCATGACTGTTGTACCCGCTGAATGGCAGGGGCTGAATAAAAGTGGGAAGAAGGGAAAGAGATGGGAAGAAAGGAAAGAGGAAGCAAGAAAGGGATAGAATAAAAGGAGAAAAAAGGGATACACTTGCCCAGTGGTTTTATGCTGCGGATGAACTTGGACTGGAGCAGAGAAACTATGTTGTGTCCCCTGCTCTTCTCTTCCCCATCCTAGGCAGGAGTGGGGTCTTGCTCATCTCTGGGCTTGTGTCTACTCATCAAGAGTGCAAGTTAGACTTCAGTCATGTGACCATGCCCCTTGTGTCTACTCATCAAGAGTGCAAGTTAGACTTCAGTCATACATCTAGGTACATCTAGGAAGAAGCAATATCCTGGGTCTTCTCGGAAGCTGTGCTTGGTAGAAGGGGCAAATTGAGGGGAATGGTCAGGTTCCTGCCCTCTCCTGAGGTCAGCAGCTCACTGAGAGGCCAGCAGGGTACCCAGTGTCGCTCAGCACACAGGGAAGGACTGGGGTCTGGGCTTGATCAGAGTTCTGCTTTCAGGCCGTTCCTCTGTGGCATGCTGTCTCACTCTGCGTGTACACTCTGCCTGGGGGACTTGAGAAAACCCAAGATAACCTCCCTCCCTTCACCCTCCTGAGTCCCAGAGCCAGCCAGATGGAAGAGCACTCTGCCAGCCTCACCCTTTTCTTAGAGATTCCTGGGAACAGTAGAAGTTCCCAGAAAGTTCCTTTTCTCTCTTTCCCTAGAAAAAAGAGAGGAAAAGATACCCTTGAAATAATGTGAGCCCAGGAGGTTCTTTGATGCTTCAATCTCAAAGAAGCTTCTGTAGCCATTGTCTGCCTTAGAGAGGCATCTGGATTGTTAGCAGAAGTAGGTTTAGTTCAGACACAGAGTAAACAGGAGCAATTGGGAGTCAGCCTTATTCTCCTTTTGATTTGCTCTATCTTTTCTTCCTCCGGGGGTCCTCCTTTTCTCTCTGTCCCCTGCCCTCTCTTTACACTTTTTTAAACTTCCTCTCTCTGCCTGTTCTCTGCCTCCCCAGCTGTCCTCGGCCCTGCTCTTTGACGCTGTCTACGCTGTGGTGACGGCAGTACAGGAGCTGAATCGGAGCCAGGAGATGGGTGTGAAGCCCCTGTCTTGTGGCTCAGCCCAGATCTGGCAGCATGGCACCAGCCTCATGAACTACCTGCGCATGGTGAGGAGCGCCCGAGGGCCTGTGGCCGGCCTGATAGGTGGAATACTTGGTGCAACAAGACACAAGAGCCCCTCCCCTCCAGGCTTCTCCAGTTCATCACAGCCCCGGATAAAAAGTCATCCGTGGTGATCCCAGTTGAGCGGATCATAGTTCCCTAATTCCTGCTATCCAAGGGGAATTCACAGTGTTCGTTCCAAAAGCAGTGGCCCTTGAACTACTAAATGATCCTGAATTCCAGACTTGCAGCCAGCTTCTGCTGAGCTGTGATCCTAGAAAACTCTACATACCTGGGGGAAGGTCCATGCTGCTGGTGCCTGTGATCCCTTCAGGAATTACAGGCTCCAAACTTCTGGCTTGGTGCTAAGTTTTCGCATAACTCTCTTGTCCGGCCATGAAGAAGGTGTTTCTTGTCAGAGAGGCCTGGTGCATAGGGTCTTGGATTTTACATTTACAGTCAGATATAGGGATGTCCTGACCTCCTGCAGACCTGGGAGTGGGATTAAGCAGCTGCCTGAAGAAAATAAATGCTGTTGACAGTCAAAGGCCTAGATGAAGTGCAGAGGGAAAGCTGAGCTCCAGTTAGCCTCATTATTTGTATTGGCTTATGCAGGTGGTAGAGGTTATGAGGTCTGGGGGAGCCTAGACCCTGTGGTAAGGGGGTGGGCAGCAGAATAGATCCTGATGCTTTCCCCTCCCTTGGGCATCTCCAAGTACCATGTGTGTGGCATGCTTGCTTGGGGCCAAGTGAACATGGGGCCTATTTGGTGCTGTAACTCACTCTCTCTTGGACAGGTAGAATTGGAAGGTCTCACCGGCCACATTGAATTCAACAGCAAAGGCCAGAGGTCCAACTATGCCTTGAAAATCTTACAGTTCACGAGGAATGGTTTCCGGCAGGTAAGCCTAGCTGTGCTACAATGATGAGGGACTCCTCCTCTGCATTCTTTTCTCTGTCTCTGTCCCATTTCTCCCACTCCTTGATGTTCAGAATGATCTCCTGTTGTCAGTTGTCTGCAGGCTGCATCCTAGGCAAGGCTCCTGGCCTGCCTTGGCCTCCCTTCCTGCCCCCAGCTCAGCTAGCATAGGCACTTCTAGTCCCACCAAAACACCAGAAAAAGAGCAAATAGACTCTGTGGATGAGGGGGAGACAAGGCTGTCATTTGAGGAGGGGATTCCCAGCCCTTATTTACTCTCTGAATCATTCTTTTCTTGAATCTCACCCTAACCCTGGAATCCTGATCACTCCAGGGAATTCCACTGATAAAGTACCATTGTCAGTACCTGATAAAGTACTTTATCAGGGTACTGATAAAGTACCCTGGCCAACCTGTACCCCTACTCTCTGTGCCTGCCTCCTCTCCTGTCTGTCACCTGTCTGCTCCCATCATCTTAGGGATGATTTGTCCTTCACAGCTTCTTATAGCTCCCTAGGCCTCTTGCCACTCTTCTCCTATTTACTATTCTTCTGTTCTCTGGTTCTCTTCTATCAGAAGAAGCAGGAATTCTGATAACCACTCCAAATATCTCTCTGAAGGTCTCTTGTCTTCCCCATCATCATAGTAATCAACTTCCTTTATTCGGAGTCCTTCTCTCACCTTAGAAAGGGCTTGGAATGGGAAGCTTGGCACTAATTACAGCAGGAAGCAGGCATATTGAAGAACCTCCTGTAGATCATAGTGACTGAACAAAGGGAATGAATCATGCGGGGATTTCTGAAACCCCTTCCAGTGGACAATGAAGAATCATCACCTTCCTCTTTACCACCTGCCACCACCACTATCATCATGATCATCATCATCATCATTGTCATGGAAATGCTAATTTATAAAGCACTTACCATGGGCTATATACTGTATGAGATCTTACACCTGTTTTCTCATTTAACCTCACAAAATAGGTACATTTTACTAATTTCCTCATTATAAATGAGGAAACAGACTCAGGGAGACTGAGCAACCTGGGCCATGGAAGACAGAGCTAATTTGGGTTTACATATATCTGTACTCTAAAGCCCAAGTTCTTACCCAATGGCAAATTATACATCAGGATCACCTTGATAATTGGTTTAAAAATGTAGATTTTTAGACCATCCCATAAATTTGGTTGGGTGAACCTAGGATAAGGCCCTGGAATAGATTGGGTCATCAGGCACTCAGGGTAGTTCTGATGAAACTCTGCACCGTAGAGGCCCATCACATGTCTTCTGCCACCGTGTCCCCACATCCCATGGGCTCCTGTCAGCCCTTCCCATGAGTCCAATAGCGTTGTGTGATTGTGCTGGCGAAAAGACCACATCACCCTTCCTGGAAGAAAATAAGGGAAAAGGAAAGAGTCTCAGATAGAGGTAGGTGACCCCCAATCCTTGGTGGTGACTCTCACCAGCTCCTCCCAATTCTGCACCAGAGCTACGTGATCTTTAAGCAGCAACAGTAACTACGCTTTTTTATATCTTCTCAAATGAGAGCCAGGTCAGGTAGGCAACCAGGAACCATAGGGATGGAGTACCACAAATTGGTCATTTCCTCTCACAAATCTCTTACATGACTTGTGGCATGCATTGGGCACTGCATGAAGCATGCATCAGCACTGTTCTGGGTCTGGGGGAAGCAAGGCTGAAAAAGGCACCATCCCTACATTGAGATGGAGCTTATTATCTGGTGAGGGAGAGTGAATTGAGAAAAATAGCTGCAATATGGGGTTATTAAACACAAGTCATGCTTTAGGCTCATCATTCCTTGAATAAATAAGCTGCCAGCCCATAGGGAGTTTGCCAGGCAGACATTTCTCTGAGCCCCAGTATGCCTGGGGGAAGTGAAGAACATTCATTCATTGTTTCCAGAGATACTTGTTGAGCACCTTCTTTGTGCTGGCTCCCTTCTCAGTACAGGTTTTTAAAATGGAAAAAGTCAGAGTTTGTGAGCATATATTCTAGTAAGGGACAGACGACAAACAAATACATATATAACATCATGTCAGTAGTGATTAGTGCACTGAGGAAAAATACAACCAGGTAGAAAGGAAAAGAGGTAGAGAAAGAATAATAGTGGAGAAGCAGCTAGGTCACAGTGGTATGAACCTATAGCACACCTGCCCCAGCAGGCTTTTCAGAGTTCTGCCATCACTGAACTAGGAGAACATAATGTTCGTGCCAACCCTGTCTACAGAAGCCAGATCCCAGGCTTGGAAAAATTCTCTTAGACCTCAGTCTTGCTCTATCAGAGATCCTGGGAAAGAACCCACTTCCTGCACCCCTTCTCTCTAAGGAACACCTGCTGTGGCCTGATCCCACCATCCTCTTGAAAGACAGCTGCTTTGGCTCAAAGTTCCTCTTCACCTTAATTCTGCTTCTGCATTTGTTGCTACTCTGGCTCCAAGGCCATAGGATTGCCTGAGTCATTAAGAATAAACAACATCAAACTCCAGCACCTACCCAAAGCCCCCAGCCCAACCCAACCAGCAAGTCAGCCCTGAGGTCTTCTCCATACTGGCTGCCACCCCATTTAGCAGTATGAGGCAGATGTCACAAATATAAGTGTACACAAGAATGACCTGTGGTGCTTGCTTTAAAAATTGCATTCCCAAGGCTCCACAGTTACTCAGTTTGATTATTAAAATTAAGTGTATAATGGGGCTGGGGATTTAGCTCAGCGGCAAAAGCGCCTGCCTGGCAAGCACAACGTCGTGAGTTCGGTTCCCAGTACCGGAGAAAAACAAAAAACAAACAAACAAAAAAAAAATTAAGTGTATTTCAGGAATCTACTATGTTTAACTGGAGCCTATATGGATGATTGAAATATGGGTAGTTTACAGATTACCTTTTGATAAATCCTATCCTCATGGAAGAGTGTTAGTAAATTTAGCCTCCATGAGTAGAAAGAATCTCTTATTTGACCTCCCTGAACTCCACCCCCACTTTTTGAGCTAACATAGAATGGAATCGGCCACACAAGTGACCATTAAAAAAGATGGTATTTCTGACCTTTAGCTACCTTAAGGGACACAAACTCCTGACTGGACTTATAAAATGAACGGCAAAAATTCTCTTTATGACCCATTTATCTTTAACAAGTCTGGTGACTGTCCTACTTCTTTCCTCTCTTATTCATGTGCCATGAGTACCAAGTGGAAAGTGTGCGATGATCCTGCGCACAGATGTAGCTTCGCAGAGCAGGTCCCCAGGTCCCATTCCAATCACTGCCCAATCTTTGCCTCTTGACAGGTGTCTTTCCCCTGCTTATTGCATGGCGGAGAAATGGTGTAGGGGGTGATAATTAATTGGGCTTCTCATCCATGGTAGGAAGAATGTCAGCATCTCCGCTATAATATTCTCCCAGTTCCATCCAAGGTGAGGCTGGCAGGGGAGGGGAAGGTGACAAGGAGCAGGGAAACAGCTTTTGAGTATCTTGTGTGTACCAGACACCACATGGGCACTTTGTTCAGATCACTGCCAGTCCTGAAGACAGTGCTGCAAGGTAGGTCAAGTCCCATTGCACCAGTAAGAAAAAAGCTTAGGGAGGGTAGAGCTTGGCCCAAGTTCCACTTCCAGCAAGGACTTGGCCAGACTGGAATTCATGCTCAGGTTTGTCCAATTCCAGATCTCATGCTCTTGGCTGTCCCACTCTTGGCTTTTCCTTACTCCCCTGGAACTCCTAAACCCCCAAATCAAAACTTTCTCCAAGACTGTTGCTTGCCACCACCTGCAAACCAGGGGACTCCTGGTTCTAATGGCCTGCTGGGCTGGGCTTTCTTTAGTAATGGCATCTTTTCATTTGGGTTTGGTTTGATTCTTTCTCTTTCTGTCTGGACTAGTGACTATTAAGGGCTGGTTTTGATTATTTAGAAAGCACCATGCAGGGACCCAGTGGGTTGTAATTGGTAAAATGTCTGAACCAAATACCATATTCCCTGCTGGTGGCTGATTAAAGGATTATTACCATGTTAAAAATAGTCTTTTAGGATTCAAGGGGTTTTTTTTACCATTTAAAAAATTACTATTTTGTTTCTGCCTGGAGAGTGTTTTACATCTTGGGACTCAATAGAGCTTATATTGGAGCATGTTTGGGAAAAATGTTTCCCATGATGTCCTCCTGTACATGACATTCTGAAACAGGACCATCTCCAATTATTTATTTATGAGCATAGAAGTTGGTAATATTGCCTCAGCTCATCTCTCCATTTAGCCTGTATGAGATCGCCATTCTCATCTCATATTTTCCCTTCTTATCCTCCAAAAGTCTCCTGGATAATGTTAGAATGTTATAGACTCCCTTCCTGATCTAGAAGCTCTCAATGAAAGGCTAGGAAAAAGAGAGGCATCGCATCAGAAGTCATTTAATTTCTTTCATTTAACTTGGTCTAAAGATCAGAGATTCTGAGCAGCCCCTGAGCGACTTTGTTAGTGCTGTAATAAGATGAGCACACCTTTCATCTGAGGATCGGAAATGGCTTAACAGGCTCTAATTAAGCCTTCAGGGTTTGACATCCCCAGCTAAAGATGCCAGTCTATCCTGTTTCTGTTGGTTCACTGTATATCACAAGAAGTACCTCAGTTTTCTTCCTGTATATGATGAAGATAGTGAGTAACCTGTCCACTTTGGCCTGGCTGGATCCAAGGATTACTGATAACAGATTTGCCTGGCATCCTCTTCTGATTGCCTATGGTTACAAGGAAGGCTATGGTTATGTAGAAGGCTGACTCTACTGAAACAAGAATAGTGAACATTCATTGTCATCTACCTGGTGTACCATGCTGGGTGGTGTACATACATATTTAAAACTTTACATCCTTTTATCAACTCTGCATGAAAGCTACTCTGTCATCTTGTAGGTGAAAAACTAAGGCATAGAGATAAAGAAATGTATTCACCATCATACAGCCAATGAGTGACAGACTCAAG